AAAGTCTGGATGAAGGAGTTCATATCCGATCTAGGTGTAATACCGAGTGCATCGGGTCCAATGAAAATCTTTTGTGACAATACTGGAGCAATTGCCTTAGCGAAGGAATCCAGATTTCATAAGAGAACAAAACACATTAAGAGACGCTTCAACTCCATCCGCGATCAAGTCAAGGAGGCAGACATAGAGATTTGCAAAATACATACGGATATGAATGTTGCAGACCCATGACTAAGCCTCTTCCACGAGCAAAACATGATCAGCACCAAGATTCCATGGGTGTTAGAATCATTACAATGTAATCTAGATTATTGACTCTAGTGCATGTAGGAGACTGAAGGAAATATGCCCTAGAGGCAATAATAAAGTAGTTATTTATATTTCCTTATATCATGATAAACTTTTATTATTCATGCTAGAATTGTATTAACCAGAAACTTGATACATGTGTGAATACATAAACAAAACAAAGTGTCCCTAGTATGCCTCTACTTGACTAGCTCGTTAATCAAAGATGGTTAAGTTTCCTAACCATAGACATATGTTGTCATTTGATGAACGGGATCACATCATTAGAAGAATGATGTGATGGACAAGACCCACCCGTTAGCTTAGCATAATGATCATTAAGTTTTATTGCTATTGCTTTCTTCATGACTAATACATATTCCTTTGACTATGAGATTATGCAACTCCCAAATACCGGAGGAACACCTTGTGTGCTATCAAACGTCACAAATCTGGTTGATTATAAGGATGCTCTACAGGTGTCTCCAAAGGTGTTTGTTGGGTTGGCATAGATCGAGATTAGAGTTTGTCACTCTGAGTATTGGAGAGGTATCTTTGGGCCCTCTCGGTAATGCACATCATGATAAGCCTTGCAAGCAATGTGACTAATGAGTTAGTTCCGGGATGATGCATTACGGAACGAGTAAAAGAGACTTGCCAATAACGAGATTGAACTAGGTATGAAGATACCAACGATCGAATCTCGGGCAAGTAACATACCGATGACAAAGGGAATGACGTATGTTGTCATTGCGGTTTGACCGATAAAGATCTTTGTAGAATATATAGGAACCAATATGAGCATCCAGGTTCCGCTGTTGGTTATTGATCGGAGATGTGTCTCGGTCATGTCTACATAGTTCTTGAACCCGTAGGGTCCGCACGCTTAACGTTCGATGGTGATTTGTATTATGAGTTATGTGTTTTGGTGACCGAGATCGTTCGGTCCCGGATGAGATCACGGACATGACGAGGAGTCTCGAAATGGTCGAGAGGTAAATATTGATATATTGGACGATAGTATTCGGACACCGGAATGGTTCCGAAGTGTTTCGGGTTTTTATGAGAGTACCGGGGGGTTACCGGAACCCCCGGGGGAAAGATATGGGCCATAGAGGGGAGGGGAGGCAGCCCACAAGGGGTGGCACGCCCCCCCATGGGGAGTCTGAATTGGACAAGCGGAGGGAGTGCGGCCCACCTTTCCTTCTCCTCCTCCTACTCCTTCCCCCTTTCCTCTTCCGCTAAAAGGAAAGGGGGGCGAATTGGACTAGGGATCCAAGTGGGACTCCTCCCACTTGGCGCGCCCTAGGCCGTCCTCCTCCTCTCTCCCTCCTTTATATACGGGGGCGGGGGGCACCTCTAGACACATCAATTGTTTTCTTAGCCATGTGCGGTGCCCCCCTCCACCGTTTACTCCTCCGGTCATATTGTCGTAGTGCCCTGCGCGGATCACATCACCATCACCATCACCACGCCGTCGTGCTGACAAAACTCTCCCTCGACACTTTGCTGGATCAAGAGTTCTAGGGACGTCATCGAGCTGAACGTGTGCAGAACTCGGAGGTGTCGTATGTTCGGTGCTTGATCGGTTGAATCGAGAAGACGTTCAACTACATCAACTGCGTTAAGCTAACGCTTCCGCTTCTGGTCTACGAGGATACGTGGACACACTCTTCCCCTCTCGTTGCTATGCATCTCCTAGATAGATCTTGCGTGATCGTAGAAATTTTTTTGAAATTGCATGCTACGTTCCCCAACACTACACTCATTGACCCTACACACCTTGCTTCTACTCATGGCTCCATATACATATTCTTAAGCGCGTCTTTGATCATCCGTTGATTCTTTCTACAATTGCAGATAAAAAGTGAGCCCACGTGTTGGACCAAGTGGGACAAAGAGGAAAAAAGGAGAAACATTGGTGAGAAATTGAAAAAAATGTGTTATGTAGTCATTTTAACATGACATGTATTAGAAACAGTTGATAACAACCCAAAATATCAAGGCAATTGTAGATTCGTCAACAAACTTGCTTATAAGGTGTAACACATATATTGAATTCTCTGCAGTTTTCCACACATGTATTTCAATGATATATAAACAATTATGATGGTGGCGGCAGGATGACGGCCTTTGACGCTCTCCGGCGATGGCTACCATGGCGAGTTCGGCACGGATGCGACCATGGCATGACCTCGTTGGAGGCGAAAGTACTGGGCCATAGGCTCAGGCATGGAGAGGTTGGCGATGGCAATGGTTGCATTCTAATTTTAAGTCAGATTTTCGCTTTTACAGAAAATCCAACCGCCTCCAATCGCGAGTGACTCAGTGTTTATGGTAATCAACCCGCATTCCAGTTGTAAGTTAGATTTTTGCTTATCCCCTTATGTTTCTGATAATCAACCTACATGCAAGTTTTAAGTCAAAATTTTCTTTTGCAAAAAACACCCTGATAATTGGGTTAATCAACCTATAGTACATATCAAATGCTTTAAAAAATATTCATATATTCCAACCCTAACTTCAAATTTAACAAATTATATATGGAATTTGATTAGAAAAATGTTTATAATTCGAATATGATGTTGTTTTACCTGTTAACCATTTTAGAAAGATATTTAGGATGCAACCTTAATCAATAGCACATGATCCATCTTTTTTCCATACCGGTGCCGAGCTGGATTGAAAATGAACAACTCAGCAAAATCAGGATTGGAGACGAAAGAAACCATCTATAACCACGCATGCACTTCTCGCCAAACCGTCACATGAAAAACCAGATTTCCCATCTTATGCCGAGAGAGACGCCTTATGGTTGTCAACATTCAAACGCATTGTGATTGTGTGAGCACTGAAGCCATCGCCAGCAAAGGTTGCAAGGAGGATAAGAACGACAGAGATGGGATGCCATGTGTTGAAAGAAATTCGGTAGATCTATTGAGATCTTGATTCATGATTATTGGGTTAGAAGGGTGTGATTTAAAAAAAATCTTATAGTACTAGAACTTATGGAAGTTGGGATGATTCTATGAGAGAGGCGTTGTAGCACCCGAGCTCCAGTGCTCTCTATATTTGAACAATTTGAAATTCATGTTTTGGAAGTTTCAAAAAATGTGAATTTTTTCGAGGATACATATATACATTTTGAATACCCGTGGAAAGTTTTGGTACAAATCTCGTTTTGTTTTGCGCTATAGAAAGAAACAAATTTCTGACAGTATATAGGAGGAAAAGGGTGTTATTTCTGTCAATTTTTTTGTATTTCCTAAAATACAATGTGGGCGCGCCGGAGCCAAGAAAGGAGCAGAGGAACAGAGCCCCGCGTGTGGGCGCGCCGGCTGACGGAGGGATGAGGCGGCGCGGGGCGCGACAGCGGACGGAGGGATGCAGCCGTCTTCCTCGCGCCGGGGGGAGCTGCGGTTCGGGGATCTCTGGGAAATCAGCGAGCGCGCCACCTGAAGATCTCCATGGCTAGCGCCGCGGAGCTCGGGTACACTGCCCCCTGTGAATTCGAGTTCGAGTTCATTTCCAGTTCAGCCGGCGACTGGCGACAGCTGGTAATCCGATTCCGGCAAGAACCAGGAGCTCTCCGATGAATAAAAGCGCTTGCGGTGGGGGCAGCGGCTCCAACTCGATTCGCTCGCCTCCCTCCCCGATCCCCAGATCCAATCCAGGACACGCCATCGATGGCGGCGAAGGTGCTCCAGCTCCGTAGCTCCGACGGCAAGGTGCTCGTCGCTCCGGCGTGGGACTATCGCCCGGCCGCCGCCCAAGCCCTCCCGCTAGAGACGCGGGTGTCCTCGCGCGCCCTCGAGAGGGTGCTCCAGTACTGGACCAAGCACAGCCTTGCCAAGGCCACCGGTGAGTCCCGGGAGTCCCTGGCCCGCTGGGACGCCGACTTCCAGCGCCGCCTCGAGGAAGACGGCCTCGCCAAGGAGGCCGCCGCAGCCGCCCAAGAACTCCGCCGCTACGGCGTCGACCATGGAGGGCGTCCCCATCACCACGCCGCCACGGCCGCATCTGATGTCGCTGCTCCTGCCAAGGCGGCCCGTGTTGATCCCGTCCGTGTCTGGTGTGTCAACCACGGAGAACGCAGCCATGCGCCGGCGATGCCCGGCTCCTTCGATGCCTCTGATACTGCCACCACCTTGCCGGCCGCTGCTGGTGCTGACCCCGGGGACGTCCGGTGCGCGATCCGTGCCCGTGGGCGCCAGATGGCTGAAGACGAGGAGTCCGCTTGCCACCACCGCAAGGGCCCGGCTTCCAAGGCTCCACTCTGCCTGCCTGCCACTGCTGCTGCGCCTGTGAAGAAGGTCTCTCGTCAGGTCGCTTCCAAGGCTTGCTCTATCGTCGGCTCTACACCACTGCCTGCCACTGCTGCTGCGCCCAGTGTGCAACCGAAGCCGCAGATCAGCATGCGCGAACTGATCGTGAACGCTCGCCTCACCATGGCTCGCCTCGACAAGGCTCGCTCTGCCTTCGAAGAAGAGGCCAGCCGTCGGCGCGACATCGAGCGCAGCCGAGCGGAGGCCCGGCGAAAGGTGGAGCAGATGGCGAACACCGTGCAGTTCAACGACCCGTGGATCCATTACTCCGACGTGACCAAGTCCCCTGAGGAGCTGCTCCAAGCACGACAGCAAGCATGGCGTTATCAAGCTCACCTCCTCGAGATGGCTCGTCGACGGGACTTTGCTGAAGCGATGCAAATCCACAGCACCAAGGAAGCAACCAATTCCTTGGCTGCGTCCAGTGGTATTACGCCTTCCCTGGTCTTTTAGTTGCTTCCTAAACCATGCACACATAAGTTTCATTTAATCTTTGCATCTCTAGGTTCTGCACTTGCTTACCAAGATTTCTAGTGTTCTTTGAATCCCGTTCAGTCATTAGTAATTTTACTAGAGTGTCAGCAGAGTCTCCATCTAGCTAGGCAGCAAAAATCTTGTTAAGATGTGTACGGCATAGTTACACTACATCCACACCTGGTCCTAAGTTAAGGGTTTAAGTAAATAAAGGGCATTTTCAATAAATCAAAGTAAAGCAGATGAGCCTAAAAAGGAAACTCATGTACTGCAATTCCGGCACGAGACAGAGCGTAAGACGCACTCGCCGCAAAATCCAAAACGCCCGTTTGCTACCCGGCTTGTAGCAGGAAAAAGGAGTAGAATTGAACTTGTCGATACACACATAATCATGTGAGCTGCCTAGCGTCTGGAGACTATGCTGACTCTCCTGTAAAATTAATCTTGGCTGAACTGGATTCTTAGGCATTGGGCGTCTTGGTGAGTTAAAGTTGCAGTTTCCGACTGAGTAACATTGGTTAGTGAACTCTTGTGTGTATGTGTGGGTGAAGCTTTGAGCTAAGCAAGTCCTCAATGTATCGACTATCAAGTCGCACTGTAATCGATTTCAGATATGAATAAAATGTTGTTGGCCTGAATTTGTGCAGAGCATTCGAGTAACTTTCTGTGTATATGATTGTTGTATGCATCTATGACTTATTAAAACATTCTACTGCTCTAGTCGGAAAAGTGTGTGCTGAAGCACGGATGCAATGGATTCATCTCACAATACTTCGTTTGAGTGGTAAAGCACATAACCATGTTTGGAACAGTTCTTGGTTAGAAGATTTTTTTTGGTTTGAGATAATGTAATCTAATTCTCAAGTATGTGAAAAAGGTTGCATCATATTGCAGCTATTTGACAAATAGGTTTGGCTTTTCTCAGATCATGTTAGCTTTTCATTCGAATTATGTGCAATAGCAGTCTTGCATATCCAGCCCCCCTAAGAAATTTTCATGTCCATTTGAATATTACAAATTCCACCATGTTAAAGTTACCCAGTAACCCAAGGGACCTGGAGTGGAATTTTTGTGTGGAAAGCGACTATCGAGTTTGCTATCAAGTTTGTCATATGTAACCCTGAATCTCTAGTGGTCACTATGCCCATGGGAGACTGCAAAATAACTCGTTTCTTATTTCTTTTCTACTGTAGTTGGTTACAGTTCGATGATTTTGTCGTGCTCAATTGCCCATCATACCTTGTTTAGATATGTTCCTCTCTGCAAGCAAGGGTGATGCAAAGAAATGAGCATGCTGAACAATTTCTCTGAATCCAAGTCCAATCCCTTATTTTCGTACATTTCCTCCTTATGTTATTGCTGGTGATGTCTTCAGAAACCTCTTAAATAGAGTCATTTTCTCCTCATGTTATTGCTGCTTTTTTTTGAGTCAATTACACCACAGGTGTCTAAACTTGGCAAGAAAATTCACTTTGGTGCTGAAACTAGTGGCGTACAGATATGTGATGACAGAACTTGGCTTCGTGGTGCATATACGGTCAGATTCGTGTTTGCATACGTACTTAGCACTGACGAGGCGCGCCAGCGAGGCGCGGGACCCTTTGTCAGTAGCTGGAAGGCGCGAGCAGACCCCCTTCACATTCATCCATAGTGCAGGTTCTGTACATGGCTTCTCCTGGGTTAAAAAGGGCTCTGTTTTGTGAACGTGAATATTGAGATATGCCTCAGAAATTAGCCACCCGTTGTAGAAGATTGTTAGAACATGTTTTCTCCTGTGAAAATATTGGATGTGGGTACAGAAGTTTGTAATTTTCATGAACTATACTTAACTGAATGCTTCGACAGTAGCTAACTGAATTTCTGAATTTTTCAACAGTAGCTAACTGAGTTTTTCGACAGTAGCTAACTGAATATTTTGACAGTGGTTGTGGGTACAGCAGTTCATTTTTGAAAGTTAGGAAATTTGTGACACTTAAATGAACATGTTTACTAGTGGATCTTCAGTTAATATGTTTACTAATTGAAGATCCAGTAGTAAACAATGCGTACTCCCATAGTAGGATGTGGGTACAGCAGTTTGCTTGCTGTTACTTAAATGAACATGTTTGCTTGCTGTTACTATTTGGCACTTCCAAGTGAAAATCTTATCAATTTAAAGCAGTGTTAACTGAAGATTTTCTCAGTGAACTGAATGTTTTTGCATTCTCTGAATTGTAGGTGATTTTGATGGGCATTTCACAATAGAAATTCATCACAAAGGATTCTTCTGTGGAATTGGCAACAACAACAGCTACATTGACTATGAAGTTGATTGGATTGATCATTGTGATTGTGACACTTGGTCTATACTGTGGATTGAAGACTTTGTGAAGCAGCTAGGCTATGATAGAGAGATAGGGCAGCATGATGTATACTGGTGTCAGCCTGGAAGGACACTAAGTGAAGGAATGAGAGAGATGAAGTGTGATGCTGATAGCCTTGCCATGATAGCATGAGAGAGATGAAGTGTGATGTTTCCGGTGTCACACTAAATGAAGTGTGATGCTGATAGCCTTGCCATGATAGCATGAGAGAGATGAAGTGTGATGTTTCCTGTGTCACACTAAATGAAGTGTGATGCTGTCAGCCTTGAATTTATAGTGAGCAATTTTTTTTATGTTTTTTGTTTCCTGTGTTACTGACAAAAATGCATTTTCTGAAGTTTTGCTATCAAAAACTGTATGTGCAATCTCCAGAACAAAATTATGCTTATGCTTTCTCTGAAATTGTACTGAGTAAAACTGATTTTTTGCTGTCAAAAACTGCATACACAAATTGCATTTTCTGAATTTGTACTGACTGAAATTTTGCTATCAAAAACTGTATATAACATCTCCAGAACAAACTGATGCCTATGCTGTTCTCTGATTTTATAGTGAGGAAACTGATTTTTTATTGCCAAAACTGCATACACAAACAATTGGGGGACGACCGGGATTCGAACCAAAGATCTGTTAGTGCAAGCCCTGCGCATGTTACCAGTAGGATGTTGAGATGGAACTGAGGGGAATATGCGGCCGCATGTTCTTTTTCGTGTCAAAAATAAAACTTCCAGGGGGTTCGCCGCAAATAGACAGGCCACATGCCTCTACCCGCGCCTTCCAGACATTGACAAAGGGTCCCGCGCCTCATCAGCGCTCAGTACGTATGCAAACATGATTCGGACCGTATATGCACCACGAAGCCAAGTTCTATCACCACATATCTGTACACCACAAGTTTCAGCACCAAAAGTGAAATTTCTTGTCAAGTTTAGACACTTGTGATGTAATTGACTCTTTTTTTCCAGAGAAATTGGCAGAAATGCTGCTAATTCATTAGAACCAGGTAATATTACGTCATTCCTGCGTGGGGAATGTATGCGTTGAAGCTTCTCCATTTTCTGTACTTCGTTTTCCCGAATCTGAACACCAGCTCAGTCCCGGATAACACGACAGCAAAACGTTGGCGTGCTGCACGGGGGCCTTCAAGAAATGCAAAGCCCAGAGCCCAAGCAAAAGAAAGCTAGAGCCAGCGGCCCATGCTGAACAAGGCCTGGCCCTTGCTCTCCGCCAGAAAACGGAGGGAAAGCTCTTCCGTTCTGAAAAAAAAAGAGCTCCTCCCAATCTTTCCACTGCCAAGCTCGAAACCGCCGCCGATACTCGAAGCCGTCCATGGAGACGGCGGAGGAACCCTACGCCTACGCCTCCGACTCTTCCGCCTCCCATACCGGCGCCGACGCCCCCGCCTCCAACCCGGTACCTTCTCCTCGCCGCACTCCGCCTCGGCGTGCCACTCGATCCATTCCCCGCCGCCCCTTTTGTTGAAGTTTGTGTGTTCTGACTTCTGAGCTCGCAGGGTGCCGCCGCCGGAGCGAGGAAGCGGAAGGCCCCGGCAGCCACGGCGAGGAAGCCTCGGAAGCAGCAGGTTTGTACTGTACCGCACTGTACTGTACTGTGCCAAATAAGTCATTTATAACCTGCCGCCGCAATAATCTTGCTTGCTTGTTTGATTCGCCTAAACTGAATTTGTTCCATCTATGTGCTGCCATTGTTTGGTGTAGGCTCAAGAACCCATTCAGATCCCTGTATACTATGGACGAACCAAAGAGTTTTATGGCGTGCAAGGCGATGATTTAGTTGATTCTTCATACATTTCTCCTGGAGTAAAAGATTGTGCACACGTTATCGGCCAACTACCACTGCAGCCGCAGTCCATGTCGTTGGTAGATCTGCAACTCTGGATCTTTAAGCTGTTCCGGCTCCATCCAGAAACACAAGATCTCTCTATTAAGGGGTTCATCAAACAACGGAAAACTGACTTGTTCGACGACTTCGAACCTGGCTGGTATATGGAGTACTGCCCGTGGGACACACGCTATTTTCAAACTGACAAGTGCTGGAGTGCCTTTGCCAATAAGTTAAAGCGGAAAAGGAATGCGACACAAAAGTTCATGTTGTATGCAGAATGCTCTGAGATCAAGCACTATGGTATTTTGCTCAAAGCCGTGCACGATGATTACTCTCAGCTGGCAAGGGTTGTGTTTCCTGGGACGAAATGCCTGACAACTTCTAACTTCCGTTTCCTCCGCCTAGTGGAAGACCTGTCAATGACACCTAAGGAAATTATAGCTTATCTCGCAGAACACTATGGCGAGCAGATGAACCCCCCTGAGGCGTGGAGGGCCAGACAGAAGGCTCTGGAGCGGGAGTTTGGTACATTTTACGATTCACACAACTTTGCCCCAAGGTTACTTAAGGACATAACATGTAAAACCCCTTGGGGTTTTGTAGACATCAAGGATGCGGAGGTTGCAGGATGTAGCAACTTTCGAGTCCTCCACCGTATATTTTGGGCTTTTGGGCAGTGTGTGCAGGCCTTCAATCATTGTCGCCCTGTGCTATGCATTAAAGGCACACCACTATGCGGGAAATACCAAGAGGTGTTGCTGACTGCTATAGCATTAGATGCTAATGGTTACTCCATTCCAGTAGCATGTGCCGTCGTTGAGGGGGAGACCGAGGAAAGCTGGATGTGGTTTCTTAGGAATTTGGAGCAAGCAGTGAGGCATCCATCGGATGTTTGCATTTTACATGACTACAAAAGAGAGTTGATCGATGCTATAGAGGACTTTCTAAGTTCCGACCAACGACAATGGCGGAAAGTAGAAAGCCGGTGGTGCATGGAACACCTTGCCGAAGACTTCTTTGCATATTTTGGTGACAAGAACCTGGTGTTGATGTTCAAGAAACTTTGTCAGCAGAGGCGACTAAATAAGTTTGTTAAAATCTGGAAGGAGCTCGACGAGTTGACAACAAAATATACATCAGAGAGAGAAGGTGGTACTAGTGAGGAAATGCAGCAAGAGTTAGTCCAGCATGATGAGGCAGACCTGGAGGCACAAAGCCCATGCAACCGACCTGATTCAGTGGACTCTGAGGAGGAAGGAGATCATGCCAATGAAAACGAAGGAAAGGTAACAAAGTTTTCTGACTGGATCCGTCTGAAACCAATGGAGAAGTGGTCACTGGTGCATGACACAAAGGGAGCTAGGTACGGCATCATGGGCGCTGATATATCAAATATATACAAGAATGACCCTGTATTGAAAGGGATAACATGCCTTCCGCTCAGTGCAATAGTGGAGGTGACATTTCTGCGCTTGGTAGAGCACTTCAAAAACACAAGTGCTGCAGCAAATGAAGCAATTGGCAACCCATCAATGAACTTTCCTGAACGGGTCCAGGATGACATGAATTCAAAAATGGAGAAATCCAAGATGCATCGCGTGATTTGCCTAGACACCAAAAACAGAAATGTTTTCCAGGAGAAACAGTTTCGGAATTTTACAGTTCAATCGAGGCAGAAGAATGAGGTTGTTCACCTGAAATCGGAAAGCATAAGTAAGTTTGGCGAATCCATAATACAAGAAAGTGCCACCTGTTCATGCAACAAACCACAGCTGCTTCACAGGCCCTGCACTCATGTCATCGCTGTCTGTTGTCAGATTGGGGTTAGCACTGCTACATACATGTCTCCATACTACAGCCTGGCCTACCTAGGTAGTATCTGGAGTGGAAATTTTGATGAATATAAGATCTCACAGGGTTACAGAAATATCACGCCATTTGAATGCAACACAACAACTTGGATCCCAGACAAAATGTTGGAGTGTGGTCTTCCTGTTTTTGTAACATCAGACTGCCTAGAAACTGTTGCGGATGAGTCAGAGCAACAACACAACACTGGAAATGGATCAACTGAAGACAATCAAGGAACGACAACACGCACTGAAGAACCTAATGAGATTTAAACTTCTGTTATCACCTATCAAGCTATTAATATTCTGGGCCCTAAATATGCAGTAGTCACTGTCGAGCTTATCCTATGTAAACTCTGAACCTCTGGTATTATTTGCAGTGCATGAAAACTGAATTTTAGGCATATGGTTACTACGCCCATGGGTGACTGCAAATCAACCCCTCTATTATTATTATTATTATTATTATTCCAGTAGGTTACAGTTTGATAATTTTGTTGGAACTCTTGCATGCTCGAATGCCAAATCATTCTAGAAGACATCATTTCTTGTTTAAACATGTTTTTCACTGCAAGCAATAATGTTGCCAAGATCTGTGCATTGTGAACAATTTTTCTGAATCCATATGCAAATGCGGTACAGAGTTCCAGTCTACATTTTTTTTTAAATAGCCAGTCTACAGATTTGCCATCAGGTGTTGAGATGCTGCTTTCAGTTTGCTGTGTTAGCACATTTACCTGTGTTAAGTTGGTCTTTCCAAAAACAAATATAATGATGTTATGGCTTTTCCCGCGAGAAACTGAATGAATACTGCCTATTCATCATTAAATTGAAAATAAATGATATGCACAGAGATGATGTTGCATTGTTGGTCAATTCTTTGCTACTGTTCTTCATCATTCATCATGTTTTTTTTTTCTCAGGAGGAAAGTAACTTCCTGCTGCATTTTTTCCGCTGTGTGTTCAGTGACGAAACAACAGACCATAAAGAATCATAATGCATTTTTCTGCAGTTCTATTGCATTTTTATGCTGAGTATTGGATGATGAAACAATTTCCAAGATCTTTCTGAACTTTACATCTACAAACAGAGAACCATTCTGAACTCGGTTCTTCTTCTTATGTGTACGTTTTTCTTTTGGTGTTTATGGCACCTATTCCTAACCTCATCGAACTAGCTAAGTTGCTTGATTAGACTGGTGAATAATGAATATACAAAATCAATCAACCATTCTTCAGTTGGAACAGGCCAACAACCATGTCCATTAAATGATTAAAATCACTTCGCCCGGAAAGATTTTGACTGAAAGCACATGGACCTGGACGGCTGAACTATTCCTTATTTTCACGGCGTGCTATGATCACCCTACGACCGTTGCTACTGGTGGTGATAATCTCAGTGATTACTTCCCACGAGAACTAAAGATAAATAGTAGGTTTTAACGCCGGGGCATGTCGTATCCGTGCTCGGGAAGAGATGTGTTTGCTAGGTGATGATGGTATTTTCTATTCATGATAATGATAGGAAAATATGGTGTTAAATAACATATTTTACTATTAGGAAATCCACCATTTTCTGTTAAATCGATGTCTTGGATTATACGATTATATTATGGCGGTAAGGATCTTCCATTCAACCCGTTCCGTTTCAAATTAATTGAAGTTTCAGTTTTGTCAGAAGTCAAACTTATTTATTTTTTACCAAATACATTAAAAATTTTGATAGTCAAATCTATTGGGAGTCAAGAAATAAAAAAAACCAACTTTTCCATGAATAGTTAGGTCAAAAAAATGTTGCAGTTTTTGTCACTATTCATTGCTGAATTTTTTATTGTTCATACCACCCAAATGATTTTCAGCTTCAAATTTGTACATGTTTCCACTGTAACATGGTTTCCATCTTGTACTGTTTCTTCTAGGGGTGTCTGCTGTTTTATTGTGAGCTTTTGTTTTTGAGAGAATATTGCGAGCTTTTTTGGGAGAGTTCTTTCTCAGTGGGGACGAGAGCCCACAGCAAATGGAAATGCTGAGCCTTCTCACAGCCCAGGTACAACCGTGATGGGACGAGCGGCCCATCACGAGAAAATGGAGGGAAAAACTCCAGAAGCGAGGGAAAACCCTCCCTCGTCCCATTCCCCATTCCCCAAATGCGCGAACAGAAAGAGATGGAAACCCACGCCGGCCTCGGCACTGACGGTGGCAACCCTGCTCCGACGAAGCCGGCGATGGACAAAGCACGCGCCGGTGCCGATGCCGCTGAAGCCCCCTCCTTTGCCGGCCCCGACGCGCTCCCCGTCCCCCAGCCGGTACGCTCTCCTCGCCGCCCTCCGGGTACCACTCGATTGATTCGCCGCCGCCCGTTTTGTTGAAGACCTGCGTCTTCTGATCTCGCAGGGTACCGCCGCGAGCGCGAGGAAGCGGAAGGCCCTGGCGACGGCAAAGGCTGTCAGCAAGCCTCGCAAGACGCAGGTCTGTAGTTCACTGTACCCATCCATCAACTCACTTGATAGTGATACTTTAGTTAGTCTGAATTTGTCCCCAGTACTTACTTGGTTGTTTCATTCGTCTGAATCTCTTCCATGTGTATTGTGGCATTGTTTGATGGTGTAGGTCGAGGAGCCGATTCAGATGCATGTGTACTATGGATGTAGAGCACCGTTTTCTCGCGTGCGTGGCAACGATTTAGAAGACAAATGTGCTCACTTAATCGGCGAGCTACCGCTGCAGCCACAGTCCATGTCATTGGTGGATCTACAGCTCTGGATCTTCAGGCTGTTCCGGCTCCATCCAGAAACACAAGATCTCGATATCAAGGGGTTCCTCAAGCAACGCAAAACTGATTTCTTCGACGAAGAGTCCTCCGAACCGGACTGTTGTTTGGAGGACTACCCGTGGGGCATGAATGAGTTTTGTACTGACAAATGCTGGAGTTCCTTTGCAAATAAATTGAAGAGAAAAAAACATGTGACACAGAAGTTCATGTTGTATGTGCAATCCTCTGAGGTCAGGCACTACGCCATTTTGCTCAAAGCCGTACATGATGATTACTCTCAACTGGCCACTGTTGTGCTGCCTGGGACGGAGTGCCTGGCAAGTAGTCGCTACGCCTTCCGTGACCTTGTGGATGACCTGACGATGACAGCCAAGGAATTGGTACATTATCTCACTGGACCCTTAGGCGAGAAGATCAGTCCCGCTGAGGCGTGGAGGGCAAGACAGTTTGCTCTGGAGAGGGAATTCGGCACCTTTTATGATTCACACAACTTTGCCCCAAGGTTGCTTAAGGAAATAGCACGCAAGAACCCTGGTTGCTTTGTAGACATCAAGGATGAAGAGGTTGCAGGGTGTAAGGGTTTCCGAGTCCTGCAGCGTATGTTTTGGGCATTTGGACAGTGCTTGCAGGCCTTCCGTACCTGTCGCCCTGTGATATGCATCTAGGGCACACCACTATGTGGGAAATATCAAGGGATGCTGTTGACTGCTGTGGCATTGGACGCTAATGATTTTTCCATTCCAGTAGCATGTGCTATCGTTGAGGGTGAGACCAAGGAAAGTTGGTTGTGGTTTCTTAGGAATTTGGAGCGAGCAGTGGTGCATCAGTCTGATGTGTGCATTATACACGACTACAAAAGGGAGTTGATTGATGCTGTGGAAGACCTTCTGAAATACGAATATCGACAGTGGCGTAAAGCAGAAAGCCGGTGGTGCATGGAAGACCTTGCTGAAAACTTCTTTGCGTATTTTGGCGACAAGAAGCTGCTGCTGATGTTCAAGAAACTTTGCCAGCAGAAGCGACGCCATAAGTTTGGTAAAATCTGGAAGGAGCTAGACGAGTTAACGTCCACATATATGGCGGAGAAAGAACGTGGCGCTAGTGGGAAAATGCAGCAGGAATCAGTCAAGCATGAGGTGGCAGACCTTGAGGCACAAAGCCAATGTAACCAACATGATTCTGTGAAGGATGGGAAGGAAGAAGATCATGCCGATGACACCAAAGGAAAGATAACAAAGTTCTCTGATTGGATCAGTCTGAAACCAAAGGAGAAGTGGTCACTGGCATATGACAGAGATGGAGCAAGGTATGGCTTCATGGGCAGTGATATAGCTGATGTATATAAGAACGACCCTGTGTTGAAAGGTATCACATGCCTTCCGCTCAGTGCGATAGTGGAGGTAACATTCCTGCGCTTGGTAAAGTACTTTGAAAACACAAGAGCAAACAAAGCAATCGGCAACCCATCAATTAACTTCCCGGAATGTGTACAGGTTGACATGAATTCCAAAATGCAGAAATCTGAGACGCATACACTTACGTATACGTACGCCGATGAGAAGAATGCTCGTGGTGAGGTATTGGATCGGAAGTTTACAGTTAAGGGAAGGAAGAGGGAGGTGACTGTTCACCTGAAGTCGGACTATACCCTCAGCAGGAATAAGTCTGAAGGATCCACAGTTGAAAAAACTGCCACCTGTTCATGCAGTAAGCCGCAGCTACTTCACAAGCCTTGCTCTCATGTTATCGCCATCTGTTGTAAGATTGGGGTTAGCTCTGCTACATACATGTCCCCATACTACAGCCTGCCCTACCTAGGTAGGACCTGGAGTGTTAATTTTGATGAATCTAAGATCTCACACGACTACCGAAATATCATGCCATTTGGATGCACAACTACCTGGATCCCAGACAAAAGATTGGAGTGTGGTCTGCCTGTTTTTGTAACATCCAACTGCGTAGCAACTGTCATGGAGGAGTTAGAGCCACAATGCAGCACTGCAAATGGATCAACTGAAGATAAACAAGGAACCACAACACGCTCAGAAGAACCTAATCAAATTTAAACTTCTGTTATTATCTGTCAGACTCCAAGTTATTCATATTTTGGACCCTAATATGCACGTAGTAGTTGCTGTTGAGCTCATCCTATGTAAACTCTGAATCTCTATGTTATCTGCAGTGCTTATATTCTCATGAAAACTGAATTTCAGGCATCTCTCATTTACTCCCTCTGTTCCAAAATAAGTGTCTCGGCTTTAGTACAACTTTGTACTAAAGTTAGTACAAAGTTAAGACACTTATTTTGGGACGGAGGGAGTACTTTTCTAGCTGGTTACAGTTTGATAATTTTCTTGGAACTAATCTATTCTCAAATGCCAAATCATTCCAGACGACATCATTTATTGTTCAGATATGTTTGTCTCAGCAAGCAAGGATGCTGCAAGATCTTATTTTCAACCACAAATAAATTTTAATATTTGTCCTCATTTCTTCCGGTGACGACTTCAGAGTTCCAGTCTACAGAAACTGCTAAGAGGAACCAGTCTACAGAGACTTGTTATTAAGTGTTGCTAAAATAAACAGAGTAAACAGCAGAAATGATAATGTTGCGTCGTATGTCAATTCTTTGCTACTGTTGTGTTCATCATGACTGCATGGGGAATGTATATGTTGAAGCTTCTCCCATTGCTAGCCCTGCTGAATTTTTCTGTTTAGCGTTCCATGATAGCATCACTGTTTGCCTGTTTCCAGGACCATTCTGAACTCTGATGTGCAGTTGTTTTTGTTGTGTGTCTGTTTTCCTTCAGAACGTTTTTTTTAGTGTTCATGACATCTATACCTAACTTTATCGAACTAGCTAAGTAGTTTGATTAGACTGATAAGTAATTTGAACCAACTATTCTTGTGTTGCAAATCACAGGGAGCTGGGCACTTTTCGACTGAAAATTACAGTGCTGAGCTTCCCTCGAGATCTACACTGTCTAGCGGTAACGGTTGTGTAATTCCCCCGAAAATTACAGAGCTTGTTCAGGGGTTTGAAGGGGATTGGAGAGGATTAAATCCCCTACAAGTCAAGTTCCCCATCAATCCTCTCCAAGAGAGGTTTAACCGAACAAGGCCTCAGGAAAAAAACACGAAGTAAGGATGTTCTTGCAGCAATCCGCAATCAAGGGTGGCGTTTTGGCTCCAGGGATGAACAATAAAATCATAAAAACTTCAAAATAATTTGACTTTTTTAATGATATACATGTCCACTAGACACTTTTAGCATTTCAGACTGCAAATACTTGTACTACTAGACTTGTACCCTCTTATATCTCTTCATACAAACACGATTAAGACGATTATTCCTGCCCGGGTTCTTTCTCTCACTGGTTCGTTAGCGCTTGCCACTGCCATTCACCTGCAAAGAAAACGACGTTTGGTGTACTCATTGATGCATTCAACATCCTAGCAGAAAAACAAAATGTTTAATGAGATTCGTTCGCACGATTAGGATACACATACCTTTTGTATAGAGATTTGATATCTTGTCGCAACGCCTCATTGTCGAGAAACCTGTCACCGCTCTCTGAAACGTCCACAGTGGCAAGCTCAAAATCATCATTGCCACAAAGATCGTTTGATTCGAACCACATCTTGGACACCCATTCCTTTCGGAAGGCCGTGTTGTGATCCTCCTCTTCCGGCGAGTCGGCAGCGACAAGGCGGTAGCAGTACACCATTTTGGTCTGACCTGGTCTGAAAGCACGACCGATCGCCTGGCGCATCACGGAAGGGTTTTCATGGACGTCCAGAATGACAACCCGCGACGCACCGACGAGGGAGATGCCCTCGCCGCATGCCTTGATGGAACCGAAGAAAACCTTAGCGTCTGGTGATTGGTTGAATCTCTCGACCGCCTTGTCTCGCTGGTCTGGAGTTGATTCACCGGTCATGCTGAAAATGTGCATCTCTGGAACCCATCCTTTCTCTCTTACGATCAGCATTTCCAAGAAAATGAGAAAACGCACGTACCGGCTGAACACGAGTACCTTCTCTCCTGCAGCTTCTGACAGACACAACAAATTGTATATAAACTTTGACTTTGCCCCAACTTTGATATCAATTCCACGCATGATGGAACCGATCTTCTCAACGACAATATCTCGGTTCTTGTCTTTAATGTTCTGGATATCCTTTAAGCATGGATGAAGAGAAACAGCACTGCATTTTGCACTTTTGCTGAATTTCCCCAGTCCCACCAAACCCCTCAGGACCTCTTCCTGCTCAGTACTCATTTTCAGAAAAACAGTCAAGTCCAAAAGTCCTGGTAGCTCCTCCGAAAGCTCGCCTTGATAATAGTGGAGCACGTTTGCAGTTAGCTCGCGTAGACTCTCGATGATCATCGCTCTCATTTTATCATTTGCGTCCTTCTGAAGGTTTTCTTCAACCAAATCACAGAACTTATCTGAAATGTTCCTTGACCTTGCATTTTTCCCCAACATGTCCACCTTGCTTAGTACGCGCTTCACTATCCCACGAGATCGCTCCGTTTTCAAGAATTTTGGCCGGACAAGGTTCAAGATGTTGAAGACCTCCTTGACATGATTCTGAAATAAGGTTCCTGAGAGCACAACTTTTCTAGGAGTCCTTATACTTCCAAGTGCATTGAGTAGGTCAGTTTGCTCATTTCTCGGAGTGTGGCCTTCATCTAGAATGACAAGACTCGGGACCTTCAGCAACTTCTCTTGGCACATGACTGCTTCTGCTTTATTCGTCTGATCCGACACTATGCATGCAAATTGCTGATACCCTAGCAGCAATATGCTTCTGTTTTCTTCCCACAGGTTCAAAACATCGAGTTGTTCAGACCGGCTATCAGCTTTGGAGGAGTAGAAGTCATACAGTGGAATGGGCATGTCCTTAATTTGCCAACGGACAAATTCTGTTCTCCATGTTGCCAGAATGCCCTTTGGAAGGATAATCAACGGCCTTCCTGCCGGGTATCTGGCCAGGAAGCTTTGAACAAAGCTAATCAGCATGAAAGTCTTTCCAGAACCTGGTGCATGTGCTAGAATACAACCTCCAGGGTTGTTCTCATCTGCTAAGTTCTTGATCAAGAAATTAAAACCTTCCACTTGGTGAGGTTTCATCCGTTCTGAATGCTGAGGGTGGATTGACAGAGTACCAGGGGCAACTTGAAGAATATCTCCTGAAGGATTAGTAGTTGCCTCGAGATCGTTGCAGTTTCTGGGTTCTTGCGGGTACGTTCTGTAGGATCGGTTGCGCTGATTTGAACAGAGAAAGTAGAAATTAACAAACAAAAATGAACTGAATTAGTCAAAATCTAAAACACATGTCATGGGTGCTCGTATAGGAAATTTGTTCGATCTATTAATCACTAATGACAAATAAACCGGTGTAGAAAATTTATGAATGATGACATCCAGAACTAATCATCAATGATTTGATTGACAAGAAGACGGTATAACTAGTTGATGTTGTGATGCCAAATGAAGTTGTGTACTTTGAATCTTTTAGTAGTTATCTCTAGATTACTCAAAAATATTACATACCAAATGGAGTTGTGATGCCAAATGGAGTATTCAAGAAAGTAAATTGGACTAATTTGGACGGATACTACATACCTTTTTCCATTGTAACTCAAAAATATTCTCAATGCGTTGCTGGATCAAACCACAAACACGGCACACAATGCCCAAATCATCTTTCATCACGAAGTCATGATGACAATCATCCACTACTTCAGAACTATTCTTCTCTGACGGAACAATACTGTGATCACTTCCAATGGTCTGGTTAGATAAACTATGTTGGTCAGACTCATCAAAAAGCAAGTAATGGTAGAAAACTATACAAAGTGAATGCATAAAGGAACACAAAACAGTAGTATGATGATGGTAAAGCATCAAAATATGTGTGACAACGAAAAAGGATTGGATGCAAATGAAAAACTGGCTGTTTCAAGACAACCAGTAAGATCGTGTACTCCAACTCTAAACTTTTCAGTGATAAAGTGCAAAATAGAGTCACATAACTGATGGGGATGACAGCATTAACATTTTTTAAATTTTGATGATATACATCAATTACTAGAGGAAGAAATGGTCCTCGGCTATACGCATGTAGTACAAATATTGTATTCTATAGGGCGTGCTGGCTGAGAACCATTTCATTAGTGCAGGCATGAAAACAATTTATCAAGGGAGCTAGGCACTGAGGTTCATGAAATGTTGAGATCTAACTTGATATAAGAAACAAATAAAGGGAAGATGGATTGAAATGAGTTTATTAAAAAGGTACCTTCGACATTGCCAGCGCAACCGACATGTCCTTCCAAAGGTCATCCAGCTCATCAACTGGATTGTCAATGGTATCAATGTGATTATAATTTCCCTCTTCCATGGATTCACTTTGTATGACCTCACAAGATATTTCATAAGAATCTACAGCAGATATATTGTTGTTCTCCATGTGGCCTTTACTTTGGACATCTTCACCTTCTCCTTCCCTTGTTTCTTTCTCCTCATCACGACTCTGTTGAAATACAAGATAGTGAACATTACTGGGAAAAACAATTCCATTCATCAATCCAGATATTGTGATTAATAAACAATACTGTCTCCCATATAGTCACATGTGAAACAATCAATCACTTTTTCTTTTTTGAAACTGAGTGGGCATATTTTCTGGAAAACATGATGAAAGTAAAATCAAATTTCCCTATAACTCAACAGGGCAAAGGCAGGATATTAAATATATATTAGAAATTTTCTTCACAGACATCATTGAGTTGCTTCAAGCGCAATATAACAAAATAAAATGGCCAAAGACTTCTGGTGTTATTGAGATATGATATGTACTAGCATCTAGGCATATATATGAACATGCTCGATAATTACCAGTAGTTCTCTGATTGAACAATATAGAAAAAAACATGATTCAACAACAATATTGATTATCATTTCAAGAGTGAACAGCGATGCAGACCTCATTGTGAATGTTTATGTGATCATGTCCTTGCTTGTTCAGTTGTTGTGGCTCTGAAGTATCATGGCCATCGAATAAAGCAATTTCCTTTGGCTTGAAACATAGATGGCAATTAGTCAGTACTTATCATGTTGGCATAAGTTTCGACAAACGCGATACTCTTAAGCAGTTGGTGAGGCTTGACTAGGTTATGAGGCAGTTGTGCATTAAAAAGATGATCTATGGGTTTAATCCATCAATGCTTTGTTAATAATCACGTAAGCTATTTGTTGCGATCATGAGAAGGAATAATTTCTATTGCCTCCTCTCTTATTCAGGTAGTAAAAACATGCATAATTGTCCATATAATATTGTTTGAGGGAAACTAGATGCATTGAAAAACAGAGACTTTTTATGATGAGTTGAATGCACCTCATTGTCAATACCCATGCTGCGCTTTCCTGGATCAACTACAAGAGCTTCAGAATTGATATTCTCATCATTGCGCATGATGATGTCCTGGTCTTGGCAAGGCTGCTCAGCCGGCATGCAATCTTGGGTAAAATCAGCATTTTGCTTAGAACCAGATAAATTTCCATCTCCAAAGGATTTAACCATGTCCTCATCATCAGAATCAAGTAAAATGACCGTTTTCTGAGCCTCAGTATTATCCATGTTACCATGGGTATTATCTTCAACATCATACTGATCCAAGTCGACAATATTATCAGAACTAATATTTTTCCCACTTTGTGCAGCACCATGTAATCCTGCATCTGATGTCTCCAGCGCCGCGCTGGCACAGGGCAACTTGATAGGTACTTGTTGCAGCTTTTCAAGGGTGCTGATAAGTTGGTGCTTCTTTCTCTCAATTGCCTTGTAATCTTCAGTGGCACTCCCATACTTCAACTCGTCGAATCGTTCGAGAAACCTAAGACGCACAGATCTGTTATGACTTATGATGCTTGACGGGGACTGGGTGCCTGGCGTGCTATCATGCCCAGTATCATGCTTCTGCCTTTTGCAGCTACTAGGATCCATCCTGAAGAAGATAACAAAAGACAGTGAAATGCATAGAGTGCATTGAAAATATCGTTTGTGTACTTTCACCCTTGCCTGTACTAGTGATCTAAATGCTCTTATATTTCTTTACGGAGGGAGTACATGCAAACACCATGACCCATCAGATGTCAACATTTAAGTGTGGGCATAACTAGCTCTGGTAACAAACTATCTCAAAAAGGAAAAAAAAACTCTGGTAACAAACACAACAAAAAATCTGTAAATTCAAGGAAAGATGAACTGTTTCATCACAAATTAAATGCCAACATTCCATGTTTCCATTCTAATCCCACTAATTTAGTCTGCAGCAAGCATACCAAAAAGAGCATGCATTTTCTGAATCAGAAGATAATCACCGGCAGGAACCAAAAGCTCACAGCCAAATCCAACCATCCCAATTCCCAACCTCAGGAACCAAAAGTGGAGATGGAATAAACCAGCACAGTTTGTTGTCAGATAGCCAGCACGAACATCAGAATGCACGGGAGCGTAATTAAAGATGACCACAGATTTGGTGCTCGCAAGCCTCGGCGGCAAACCTAGGTGCTACCCCAAACCCCAGTTCTGATGCGATTTTTAGTTTCTCGCGTCCGACCTCAAGAAAGCACTCGATTTGGGCCTAATTAAACATAGAAACCTTCCAGACAAAGGCCAAACAGATGATCCTACCCCGAATGAGAGACGCATTGACCGTCGGCCCCGGACCCGGATGGCGTGGTGCGCCGGTCCAAAAACCCCCAAACCCCCAAAACTGCACGGAGCGAAAGGGGGAGACGGGTGGGATGCGGTGGGTGCGAAATGGCAGGAAGAAGAAGATAAGATACCTTGAGGAGAAGAGGCAGAGAAATCTGGAGAGCCGGAGCCGGATTGCCGGCGATTTCTCGAGTCGCCTGGGGGCTGGGGCTATGCGGGAGCTGCTCTGTTCTTGCCCTCCTCGAGGCTTGAGTGGAGGAGAAGTGAAGTGCAGTGCGGCTGTTGGGTGTTCCGTCCGTTCACATGACCTGACCTGGACCCTCGCTCGGATCCTTCCACCTTCTTCTACTTCTAGGCAGCGAATTTTTGTTTGTTTACCGCAGTAAGACTAGTAACATCACACATTTCAATACAAGATTGCAGCTAATTAATAAGGAGAGAGGGGTTTGTGGTAACTTAAGTAGTTACTGTAACATCACACATTTCAAAGCATAATGAGTCTATAGCCTAATAAATGAATTCTTTCATAATACCATTCATATGTTACTACCCACTATGGAGATAGTAGACTAGTAACATCGGCAAGTTACTACTCTATGTTACTCCCCACCGTGAGCAGTCTAACAATATGCTCCTCGACTTTAAAGAGCCCATATTCGATTGAGGCCTTCAACTAAAATTGGATCACTTAATTTTAACTAGGTCAACAATTTCTCAAAACTCTCGCATTTCAATTCTTTTATACTATACATTATGCTTTTTAATTTTTAAGGCCTCCTGATTAATTGAAATCTTCAATTTAGAATTCATCACCCAGTCTTGAATGGGTCAACAATTTCTCAAGGAGCTCTTCAGTTAAATTCTTGTAATTTCATCTAATTTTGAAGCTTTTTCGCTCAATTGAGGTATTCAATTATAAATTTGGTTTACGATTTTGGTCTGGCCCAATGATTTTTCAAATTAATCAACCACAACTGGCCTATCAAAATATATCAATCCGGCACATCCTCCCATCATCTAGAAAAAACAAGCGCCACCATGTGATACTGTAGTATTAATATAGTATATGCAGCCACCAACGCTGGAATTTTCCCACATAAATATACATTGATTAGCGGATAATACAAAACCACACCACAAAAGGCTCATCAAATTACCGGATTATAACCAAGATCACTGTATTATAAATAAAATAAAACACACTCCATCATCTTCCCAATCCGCCCAACTAAATATTCCATCGATTTCAAAATATAAGTGGTATTACTTTTTGGAAAGTCAAATTTCTTTAATTTTGACCAAGTTCAGAGAAAAAAAATTCTACATCCACAATATTAAGAAAAAGTATGAAAATTCGTTTCATGATGAATCTAATCATGGTAGCAAGTGGTATGTAAGTTTCTTCTTTACAAAAAAGGAACAACTGTTGCGATCAAAAACAAGTTAAATGTGTCACAATTTGGAGCTTCAAACGACTTCACTACGTACCTTACCAAAGGGCGTCATCCATATCAAAAAAGATCATGAGACCAAGGAAGTTTCTTTTTGCAGGGGATGAGATCAAAGAAGTTGATCCGCCATACATTGTCAAGTACAGTCGTACAGACGAGCCACATCAGCATTTTCCATGTGACATGCTGAAAACACTTCCTCTAAGTACAGGTTAACATAAACAGCCCCCATACAAATGTCCAAGAACGCGGTCCAACTGTCAGCATGATCACAAATGTTACTGCATTATCATTAAGAAAGAATACCGTAGCCTCTTCTATTAGTGTTGTATATCACACTAGAGACGTGTTTGGTAGCCCGCGTAGAGACCAATCAGATTCATGCGGGATGAAACTAGGCTGTTTAGTTTCTCGTGTTCAATGTTGAACCTGCATAGTATGAAACTCAAAGCACCTTGGGGTCAGTCTCGCTCGGAATGCTCAGATCGACAGTTTCCAGCGAGCCAGGCTGAGATGAGCCACAATGAGCGCATATGGATGGGCCCATTTCATGAGAGAGGAGGCTGAAGGGATGCGAGCTAATACACAGCCTGTACGTGTTATCTTCTTCTACCTCTAGTAAGCTTCTTCCTAATCTCATTTCTTCTTTCTCTCTTCTAATCTACACAATGATGACTTGATTTGAGATAAGCTCTAGACAAAAAAATGCACATCAATATTACGGTTCTATTTTTGTGATTGGTTCGTAGTTTCCGTCGACCGTAAAAATGCTTAATTTTGCGTTCACGTTTGGACGAATTTTGTCAATATCGTTGTGCACGATCGACCGTTTGAATTTTACTTTGATTAGTAGCATAATCTCGCAGTTCCACATAGTATTCGTGTTGCAAGTTTTCTAATTACAAGTGTTTCCCATACATATATGTGGTGTGATTTAAGACACCGCTCAATCATTCCTATAGGCTGGTGTGGTTTCTCTCAATCACCTTTCCCGCGTCTTGCTGCAATGGCGTCATCATTGTCGCCGTTCATCCCGGCCTTTTCTCCAGGATCCTACTGCACTGGCGCCGTCATGGCGTGCACACTGTATTTTATTCTCCTGTCATCTGCCTTATAGCCCTCCTATTCGTCCCTCTCGACGCCGACATCGTTCCTCTTGACTCCTTGTCCGCGTCCTACTACACCGGAGTAGTTTCCAGCGTCATTCATCTCGACGTCCTCTCTCTCGTCCTACTGCACTGATGCTGTCATGGCGCGCGCACTGCATTTCTCCTCCTCCGTCCTCTATCTCCGTGCGGACTTTCTCTGCGGCAACAACGCTAGTAAAACTAATCATGTAATTACTAGCCTTATTAAGTTACTCCGAGAAGTATTCATGTCCGTAGGAGTAGAGAAAGTCTGAAGTAGAGAAAGTCCACACAGTGCAGAGTAGTAACATAGCGCACTCCGAGAAATTTTTGCCTATGTGGCAAGTAGTTAATGACAAGTAGTAACATAATATGTTACTGTAATATAGGGTTTTTCAAAACAATATGAGTCTACAAGCTAATAAATGAAGCCATATATGGCACTAGTATTATGTTAGTACTTTGTATTATGAAGGTAGTAACTTATACTAGTGTCATATCCATGACACTAATATAAGTTACTCCCCTGCCTCAAAAAAAAATCTATTCCCCACTATGATCGGCCTAAGTTGAGTACTTGAGTGGCTGGCTCCACATGTGATGGGTGGGCCCCACGTCCAATTAACAGTCGACAAACGATGTTAACAGTTGTATGCCATGTCAGCACCTAGCCGTTTATAGATGGGCCCAACTGATCAAAAAATCGGTCATTGGTGTTTATTGCGAAAATTACATGGAAGTGGATAGATTTAGTGGCATCCGCATGACGCAAATGTTATTCAGGTGCAATTGTTACTTCTTTCGGAGCCGGATCCACTCCCGTACTGCACCCCTGAAATGGAGCCATCGACGCATGGACCCGGGTCCCCGTGTCGGTGTGCCAATGGCACGTTAGGGGAGCCGCGTCTACTTCTCTCTGCCAAGCGCCGCCTTCAACTTGAAGGCGACCTCCTCGAGCACCCGGCGCGACGGCCCGTACGGTGACCACGCATGTGCTCCCGCTTTCTGCAGGTTCTCGGCCCGTCGCCACAACTTCTGACCCCCCTCCACGAGCTCCTTCACAGCGGTGGCGATCCCGTAGCACGTCACGAAGCATCGATCGTCCTCTCGTGCCGCCGGCACCCGCAGCGCCACCCCGAGCTTCTCTTCCAGGATAACGGCGTTCATCCTCTGCTCTGCATACAGCGGCCACGCGAGCATGGGCACGCCGGACCCCACGCTCTCCAGAGTCGAGTTCCACCCGCAGTGCGACACGAAGACGGCGGTCGCAGGGTGGCACAGCACGCGCACCTGAGGCGCCCACGCCGCGACGGCCAGGCCCCTGCCCCTCGTCCTCTCCAAGAAGCCCTCGGGGAGCCACGTTAATGGATCGTCATCGTCTCGGATGCCGCGGCCGTCGAGGCTTGGCATCCGCACGACCCAAAGAAACCTTTGGCCGCTCGCCTCGAGACCAGCCGCGAGCTCGGCCGTCTGCTCCACAGAAAGTGCCCCGCCGCTCCCGAAGGCGACGTACACCACAGAGCCGGTCGGCTGACGATCGAGCCACTCCAAGCACGGCGTCGACGCGCCGGCGGCGGCTTCGTCGGGATCTGGCGGCCGGACGAACGGCCCTACGGGGAACACCGGCGGGTACGCAAACGCTGACGCGCCAGCAGCTTGCTCCGCCGCCAGCTGCTCGAACGCCTCCGCGGTGGCAGGTTCCATGTCG